GAAGGTAAGGTACTGCATTGTATCACAAAGCGGGGCTTCTGCTTTGTTGACTGCCAGCTAGGACATGGAAATAAAAATGCCACCATGTAAACAGAAATGCCAGGATATCAGTTCCCTGATTCCCAGCTTAATGAGGGCAGTGTAGTTTTGCTGGTGAGACTGGATGTGGTAGGTGTGTGGCCTGGATGTCATTTGATTGCTGTAGCAGATACTGAATAACACCCATTAAGGTGATTTTGAAAGTTTGGTATTAAACGAAGTTTTAAAGAAGTTTTAGAGTTCTTTTTCCCCTCAAGGCACTTGTAACTAATTCACATGCCCGTGTGGCACCTGAACGTTTGTTTTCTCCATAGGTCTCCATCACCACCCCCACGCAGACGCTCACCTTCTCCACGGAGATACTCTCCGCCGATACAGAGACGATATTCTCCTTCACCACCACCCAAGAGAAGGACAGCCTCTCCTCCTCCCCCACCTAAACGGAGGGCATCCCCTTCTCCACAGTCCAAACGCAGAGTCTCCCATTCGCCACCACCAAAACAGAGGAGCTCACCAACTGCTAAAAGGCGTTCGCCTTCGCTGTCTTCCAAGCACCGGAAGGGATCTCCTCCCAGTAGGTCCAATCGGGAAACACGTTCACCACCACAAAACAAAAGGCATTCACCTTCACCACGGCCTAGAGCTTCTCATACCTCTGCAAGCCCACCACCACCACGAAGGGGAGCTTCAGCCTCACCCCAGAGAAGACAGTCTCCATCTCCAAGCACTAGACCCATCAGGAGGGTGTCAAGAACGCCAGAACCTAAGAAGACAAAGTAAAAGAATCCATCTTTGTTGGTGGTGGTTTTGTGAGGGTTTATTTTTTTGGTTGGTTGGTTTTAGTGCACTGGGAATAACAAGGAATTGTGATAAAAAGGCTCTCATGTCTTGAGATTGCTAAAGCATTGATGGCTCAGTTTGGCTTCCACCATTGTAACACTGATTTTCAGAAGCTTATTAGATTGGAAGCATCTGCTAAAAGAAAATGCAGCACAGGGAGAGAAGCATTGAAGAGTGAGAGGGGTCTTTTCATGGCACAGCAAAGCACTGGGACTGAGCAGGGGGAAAGAAGTCCGAGAGTTTTGTAGCTAGCTTTGTTTACAGGAAAATGAACTTCCTCTGAAGTTAGTAACACTTCTCATTGGCTCAAAAATCACTTGAGAAGTAGTCATCCAAGATAAACTAGTAAAATTCTAAATGTTCTTATTTAATGTGTTGCTGTTCTTGCAAGCAGACAGTCAGAAGTGCTGCTGGCCTGTTTATTTGTTCAGAAAGACAACTTAGCTGCATGTAATGTCTTGCACTCCTTCTCCATTGGATGTCAAAATAGCATTGCTGTTCTCTTGACTTAGTAGGGTTATAAATTAGTCATAGGAGAAGAAGGGGAGCAATCATTTGTAGTAGTATTGGTTGACAAGCTCTCAAGTTGCCGTAGCCTTTTGTAGTATGGATCCATGGTGGTATTAGATTGTTCTGCCCTTTTGAACACATGCCAGTGAAGGAACTAACCATGTTCTGAAGTGGCAGTTTAACCACCTCATAATCACCTCTGTTCATTTCACATTTTTGTTACTTTTTACTTTCTTGGTTTGCCTCTTAAATCTCTAATTGTGGCTCTTGTGTATTTCAGGGCTCCCACACCAAGCCCACGATCTGCAAGACGGGTGTCTTCATCACGGTCTGCGTCAGGATCACCTGAGCCAGCACCCAAAAAACATCAAGGACCTCCATCTCCCACTCGGTCTTGTTCTCCTTCTGCAAACTGGTCACCTGCAAAAAAGGCTAAAAGCCCAACTCAGAGTCCATCACCTGCAAGGGTACTTGTTTGCTAATAAAAGCAATGCTGTTTTGGGTTATGTGACAAGTTATTTTCATGAAGACTTAGCTGCTGAACACCTCTGAGGTTATTCACAGGGTGGGGGAAATAATCCTTGGAATAATTTAATAATTTAAAACTCCTTAAAAAGAATTTGTAACATTAATTGTTCAGATCAGGAATGAGTTTTGATACCTGTTGAATTGTTTGTTACAGAATTCAGATCAAGAAGGGGGTGGGAAGAAGAAGAAGAAAAAGAAGGATAAGAAACATAAAAAGGATAAAAAGCACAAGAAACACAAAAAACATAAGAAGGAGAAGGCTGCAGCGGCTGTAGCAGCTGCTGCTGTGGCTGCAGCAGATACCACCTCAGCACAGGAAGACCAGGAAGCAGAGACAGAACCCAAAAAGGTAGGAATTCGGTAGCTTGTAAGAGTCCAGTATAAGAGAATAGATGGGGATGGATACACCATGCTCTTCATGTCCTAAACTTGCTTCAGAAATGGAGCTCGGTGTCTCATGGTGTTGGGGGATGATTTGCAGCACTGGGGGGGCTGCAGCCTGGCTCTGCTCTCAGTGGGTGAAGAAATGCTTTCCCTCTGTTTGAAGGAGACAGAAAGTGAACCAGAAGACAACCTTGATGATCTAGAAAAACACCTGCGAGAGAAGGCCCTGAGGTCGATGAGGAAGGCGCAAGTGTCCCCACCATCCTAGGCCGAATCCTTTGATATAATGTACATTTTATTTGGTTTGTACTCAGAATTCAATTTCAAATTGCTAAATGTGTTTGAGCTTTAGAATATAACATTTGTTGTAATAATTGCTAGGTTGAGGTTCACCATGTACAAAGGGCATGGATTTACATTACAAGAGGTGTCCACAGTGTACTAGTGACATTCTTTCATTGGCAGTCAACATAATTTCATTTAGAGTGAGACTTTTTAGAAGCAGTAGGAATTTGTTTTGAAGGTTTTAAACATGACCGTCAGTTCCCTTAGTTTCTTTGAAATTCAGCAAAACCTTTAGTGAGGGTCTCATTTGACTTCTTTTGTATCCACTTACATTATGCTACTAACCTCTGTGGTTTGTAAGCTTGCCCAGAAGTAAAACCACTGCAGAATTACCAAGGAAGTACCAATCTTTTTATGCTTTCTACTGTTGCCTGTGTAGTCTCCATGAAAGCGGATCAGGAGTAGCGACATAGAATGGTACATAAATGAAAGCATGTTGTTTACCAGGACACTGTGGGTTTATATTGATGTAACATGTTGATTTGGAACACTGGAATTTCATTTGTATTTTTATGTTCTTTTTTTAAAGGGCAGTTTCCATGATCAGCAGTCCCAGAAAAAATTCCTTCAGTTCCATAAATTTTGTTTGTGAGCTGTCGTTGCCCCACTCATAAATCTTGTCTCGTTACGGTTCTTCTCAATGGTATAAGCAACTTTCAGAGATCTGCTCTTTGAAAGGCTGAGGAACCCGAACTTTGGATATTGTCATGTTTTCACTGTTTTTTGTTTTTGTTTTTTTAACTAAAGCTATATAAAGCTTGTGGATTAAACAAAATAAATTTCTAAATTTAAACAGATGTTGGCTATTTTTATATGAACATTTACATTTGCTAATCAGCTTTCTTTTGTACAGGGTTAATGAATACACAGATACGAAAAAGTATTTGATCCAGTACGCTGGCTTCTGAAAAACTGGGGCTTTTGGTTTTTAACTGCCCCGGGGCAGCAGAAACAGCCCTTGGTTAATTCAGCGATGTTCCCGCTGTGTCTGGACCCGGTCAGCTCTGTGAGGATGGATAAGCTTAAAGCAAACTAACAGAACATTTGCTGGTGAAAATTGCTGGTTGGAGCAAGTGAAGTGTTTCAAGGTCTTGCATGGAATTCCTGGCAGGTTTGAGTGATGTAGCTGAGGAGCTTTAGTCCTGTCCACGCTGGTCTGAGTTCTGGTGCCTCGCTGCCTTCCCATAATCATATTTGAAACTCACTGGATTGCTGCTGTCGGATTCTTTTAAAGATTCAAGCTCTGTTTCTGAAATCCAGTCAATTCTGAAGTCTGAGGTTCCTCTGGAAGGAGGAATGGAAACATGCTCTAGGAAATTTCTGTCCTGCATCTGAAGTAGATGTGATATGCACAATGAAGTGTAGATATTTGATTAGTCTTTTTACTTGACGTCATGTAGGGGTTTAAAATACAACAGGTTTATGTAGATACTGGATGGAAGGGGAGATCTTTAAAGTAGCTTCCTTCTGCACTTCCTTATATGCTGAATTTTTTGTTTCTTAGCATAAGTATACATTGTATGCTAAAGTGCTTGTAAACTTAGTTCAACACTTGAATGTTGAGTATCAGCTGTTATTAAATGTGTATAATAAATTCCAAGAACTTTCTGGACAAACACATTTTTAAAAGTACATCTGAGTGGATTTGCTGGTTATGAAACAACAAACCCAACACCGCATTGTGCTGATCCCTTTGCCTTGGTCCTTGTTTTCCCATGGTGTTCCTTGGCAGCACAGGTGATTCCGGAATTCAGACTGGCATCCGGTGGGTGTGCAGCCCTCCCAGGGAGCTGATGCTGAGTCTTGCTGTCAGCTGGGTTTTGTGACCTCTGTGCCTTTTAGTCTTGGGACTAGCAGTCAGTACCTGACTCTCCTTTGCTGCCTTTTCCTCTCCTGTGCTCCAGGACTTGTGTTGCCCGAGGACTTTGCTGCTGATATGGGCAGGTGAAGGGAAGTCAGCCTGGCCCCAGACCAACATTTCTATTGGTAGGTGCTCCCTCCTCTTTATTTTATTACATCTACCCATAAAGAATGGTTTAGGTTTAAAAAGAGGAATTAAATACACTCTTAGAAGAGTGTAGCTTGTAAATGGTGTTTAGTATCATATTTTAACTCCTTCCTCCTCAGCCATGCAGTCTAATGTTAACATTGCATTCAAATACCAGATGAGTGATTATAAGCCTTCTCTTCTTGTGAGCTGTTCCACTTTTCCTTGCTGCTCCACTGTTGTGTAGATACTTTGGCAATATAAAGTGGCTCTGCTGGCATAACAGCGCTCAGTGTTGGTGTCTGTGCTGTGAACCTGGTCCTGGTGAACTGCTGGTTTACACCACTGAATTTCTGACCTGCTCCTCTAATCAAGATCCTGCCATCCAAACCCAAACGTGTCTGATCTGTTCACTCGATTCACTTGTCTAACCTCCCTGCTTCTCAATCCTTGTAGTTGTGGTGCTGTAGTTCAGGGAGTAACCATGTAGGAGGCCCTGTGCAACGCGGCAGAACCTCTGGTGCATGATCTCACTTGCTCTCTTATTCTGAAGCTGTGTGTTTGCTTGTTAATCAAGGCTGCCTTCCTGAAATGACAGATACAGAGTTTAGGTAAAGGACTTGCTGGAATAACTGTATCTAACTACGCAAATAATAATAATAAATTGAGGTTTAATTGGACTGTGTAACTTGGGTGACAGTGAGTCCACAGGAGTGAACGTAAGGATGGAGTGAGTCACTGGCAGGGCGATAGCTGGGGTTCACAACAAAGAAAGATGTATTTGTTGTGTCAACAGATGGGACAATAGCAGGTGTGTGCTGGGGTTTGAGGTTTATAGAGACTCAGTGCTGGATTATCAAATTTTTCCACTTGTGTGACTGGAAATCTGCCTGGGGAGTGAGTTCTGTGCTGACCAGCTCCTGAGCTGGTCCACGGCACCTGAGCTCCTGTGGCAGCTCCACACTCTCAAAGTACTTCATGAAAGATGCTCAGGACAGAGGCTGTTCTGCTGCTGGTTCACAACATGTCTGGTGCTCCCCAAAGGCTGAAGTCTGAGGGATAAACACCAGAACCGAGGCAGTTTTGTGCTCAGAGCCATAGCTGTAAAGCTTCAGCTGCTAAAGCCTGTCCTTGCTGAGCCCCACCTCACCTGACGCAAATTGATCTCCCCTGAGGCCTGGTGAGTGCAGGCTCTGGTGGGGGTGTGTTCACTTGGAGGAGCAGTTTCAACATCAGGTGTGCTTTTGCCCTCTTGACTCCATTCCTCAAACATCAAATCTGCAAATACGTGGGTTTCGGTGTAAAAAGTGCTGTTGGAGGAGCAGCTTTTGGCTGCACTTGAACAGTACCTTGACTGAGTTTCAGTTTGGCTGTCGTGTGTGTTAACTAGTGTTTTAGTATGGGATCATCTGCTCATCACACCTTGAGTTGTCTGCTTGAGCTGTCTCGTGCGTGTCCAGTGAGGCAGTTGCAGTCCCAGCAGTGCTCAGGACTCCACAATTGTAGAGACCTTGGTGGGTGAGGGAGAGCTGCTGTTCCTCAAGAGTTACCTTCCCATGTGGCTTCCCAGCTTCCTCCACTTGGCTGGGCATTGACTTGGTTTCCCTCTTGTAGTGTCTCTTTTCTCCCATTTTACTCAGAACTTCCCACTGGAGTTGTTTATTCCTCTTGATCATGTCTCAGTCATTGTAATATATTACTGTGAAAGTAGCAGATCTCTTTAAGGATAATAAAAAGATTGTTAAATCTGAGAACAGCAGCGTAGGCAGTTGTGCATTTCCAGACTTTAACCAACAGTTTGACTTTTGAACTGTACTTCAGCTGTCCTTAAGGGGTTGGAACCACTTGAGTCCATTCAGCTGTGGCATGAAACATGGAGCTGGAGATTGTTCCCACCCTGCTGGTGGAGGTCAATGATGTCCCGTGACAGTGGCTCTCACCTGAGCTCTTTCTCTCTCAGAAATCAGCTGCTTTAAGTACAGCAAGAACTTGCCTCTTCCTTGCTGTAGCACACTCACAAGCGTGTAACCTACATACACGGTCAGTCTTGTAACCCTGCCTTTGTTCCAAGCTCGGTCTGGTTGGAAGCAGCAGTTTGATTTATGTTTTCTCTTGCTCAGGTTTAGTTCTGACTTGACTCAGTAGCATTTCCTTCCAGTAAGAGCCAAGCTTAGCTAACATCCATCATGCAGAAAATCTGATGGTCCACTGGTGCTCCTTTGTGTTTGCCTCAGTGGCTTGGAGGCAGTCAGGATGCAGATACATGGATAAAGCCTTGGGAAGATGGCTGGGATTTAATTTAACTGACCTTAAAATAGTGGAGCAACCCCACTGCACAGCTGGAGGTGGGTGACCTGACTCTTCTGAGGGGTGGGCCATGGTTATTTGCTGTAGATTTATTATTAACCCATTTGGGTGGAGGGAGACAACCCAAGTTCTGTGGGTAGCTCAGGCACTGTGTGCACTGTACAGCTTGAGCAGCTGCAGGTGCTTACAAGAGGAGGGGTTCAGTTTGGGCCTCTGTGAGTGTTTTACCTCTGGCTTTTGCCTTAACACTGCAGGGCTGTGCCTTGTGGCACCTGGAAGAAGCCAAGTCAGGAGCTGCTGCCCTGGTCCTGCTGCGCCTGGAGGGGCCTTTCACCAGGTGTGGCTGAGTGCAGTGGAAAGGCCAGTGCTGCAACCAGATCCTGCCATTTACATCAAAATCAGGTGTAAATGTGAATAATCCCTGTTTAAAATCATATCTGTTAAAGTCTAATTTATAGTTAACTGTTGAAAAGTTACCTGGTGGCCTTGATGGCCTTGTGCTGCTGCTGGAGGCAAGAGCAGATGAGCTGGAGCCAGCCTGGCCCATCAGGATAATTCTTACCTCAGGACTAGCAAAGCCCCAGCCCTGGCCTGGCATAACGAGAGTGGGTTAATTAGATTTTGTACCTGCACTGTATCTGCTGGCGGGTTTGCCTCCTCTCACCAGGCTCGGGGTGAACCGAAAGCTGCTGCTTAAGGAGAAGGATCACAGTTTGTCACGGAGCTAAAAGCACTGCGGGAAAGGAGGGTTTGGGTTCTTTGTTTCCAGTTTTTCATGTAAAACCAGGAGCTGCAACGCGCTTCCTGAATGAGGTTTGCTGGTGTCTTGTATAGCTGTGAGGGGACTGTGCCCATGGAGCAAGCAGGGAGCCAGCCCGAGCGTCCCAAGGAGGGAAACGCTGCCAACGCGCTTCCTTAGCTGGGAGTGTCGTGTTTTCTGCAGGAGGGGTGACGCCCTGACGGGGTGGGTGAAACTGGGACAAGAGGGCACCGTGACTCACGGTGACAGCAGCCGCCTCGTGCCAGGCGTGTTCCTGTGCTCGGCCGCGTTTTGCTTTTGTTTTCTGCTCAGGCTGGATTGGACACCCCCAAAAATCTGTGCTGCAGCGGCCTCTGATCTGGGACCAGGGTCAGTGCTGGGAGCACAGCTCCCCCGCGGCTCAGGGAGGGATGTGAGCCTGCAGCACAAGGTGTTTTAATCACAAACTGGTTACCTGTGGGGTCTGTGTTGTGGTGGATTCCTCAAGAATGGTGTTTTTTCTCACCCAGGATCAGTCCCTTGGGGGTTGCAGCCAGTGCAGGTCATGGGCAGGGACCGGAGAAGGGACTGGGATCGTTTGAACTCCCACGTGTGTTTTCCCAGCACATGGTGTGCTGAGTCCAGCAGAAGGGATGTGGGGTCTGGCTTCATCCTTCCTCCTGTACACAGGCAGCTGTGGTGGCCGTCGCTCACCAAGTCACTGCTGTCTCTTGTGTATGTGCTGTGAGCAACAGGGAGAAGGG